TCCATACCCAAAACGATGTCGAAACCGTTTAACTCTATGGGTAATAGCTCTTCATGGAATTCGTTTCTGTTTAGGTCAATGATGATGTTCCTAATATGATTACTAACAGGTACGAATTTGCCACTAGCAACTTATTCAATCAGGGCATTATCAAGTTTTTCTATAGGTAATGCTAATTTCCCACCAAATTTATGCGACACAAAGGAGTAGTTGGCTCCGGAATCAAATAGTATGTTTGCAGGCAAACCATTTACAAGAAAGGTACCTGAAGTGACGTCTGCTACCTCCTTTGCAGCATCAAGCGTTATCTGGAAGGCTCTTGCCTTCGGCTTCGGTGGTATGTTGGGTCTTCCTGCCTCCTTCTTCTTTAGGCAATCCTTTGAAATGTGTCCCTCCTCGTTGCACTCATAACAAACCTTCTTAGTGAATGTGCATTCGTTGGCATAGTGCCTAGGCTTTCCACATTTGAAACAAGTGACCCCTCCATCACACTTCCCACTATGCTTCTTCTTACACTTGTCACACCACTTCGCTTCTGATCCTCCTCCTCTCGAACCAGACTTCGAGAATCTACTCTTCTTGTTGGACTTCGAGGATCCATCGAACTTCCGTTTCTCACCAACCTCAGCCCTTTCTAGACCTCTTTCCTTTTGTTGGGTCTCCACATTCTTAGCTGCTCGAATGGCTAATTTCAGAGTGGTTGCCATCTTGACTGTTGGGCCAAAATCAGCCGATAGTCAGTTTTGCGAACTTCTCAATTTCGGAAAGCTCGGTTGGCACTAGGTATGGAAACAACTTCATCTTTTCCGTGAATACAACAGCATAGTCATCGATGCTTATTTTCCCCTTTTTCAAATTTTGGAACTCATTCTTTAGATCAATCATATCTATCTCTGAACAGTATTGTGCCTTCAGTTGTTCCAAGAACTCATCCCACGACATTTTTAGAGCTTCTCCTCGTGGTATTGTATATGCCAATAGCTTCCACCAGCTCAAGACTCCAGTTTTCAATTGTCTCACAGCAAAGACAGTGTTCTGCTTCACGCTGCAGTTGCAACTTTCAAACACCATTTCCATCTCGGAGATCCAGTCCAGGATCTCAACAAGTTTTGGGCTTCCTGAGAGACTTGGTGGTTTCGTAGCCAAGAAATTTTTGTACATCCGCCCATCCATGTTGTTTCCCCCTTTTGGGCCATCCCTTTTCTCACCTTGAGTCCCGATTTGACTCACTTGGCGGCTGTAGTTCCCTTCCTCAGATTGCTCAGAAACTGGCTCCATAGGTTCAACATGTATAGTAGATTCGTCCCTATTCTCGTGGAGAATCCATCTCATGTCTTCCCTTTGTTCAGCTAGCATAGTCTGAATTATGGCTTGAACTCCAGCCATGGTGACTGGCTCAGGTGCAACTTCTTCAACAACAAGTATTTGCTGAACCACTGGGGGTTGGTTCCTATCCCCATTTGTGTTTACGTTTCTGCTACGAGTCCTTGCCATCTTGATCTATACATCGAATAAGGTGAATTTAGATATTTATTCACTATAGATTCCGAAACGTTTACATGCTAGTTCTAATATCGTAATCATACGCTTAGAATCCTACACACATAAGTTTTTCCAGATCCGGTCGACAACAGACCATAGATCCGAACAATAATATCGTGTATAGCAAACACATAACATTTAGCACATAAAAGCACTTTAGGCGTCTTTCCTAAAATATACTAGTGCTCACACCTCACAATCATCGCTTAGCATTCTAAGTTTAAGTCTACAAATCCAACAAATTCCTAGTTCACTTAAACTAATGCTTTAATCAAAAGCATTTCCTTAGAAATGTATTTCATTAAAAGACTCGGGATGTCATGTTCAATACAGTACATAAGTATAAACAGTACATTATAAGCCTTACAAGAGTTATTTACAACTAATGGCCTATAATCCAAAAGTCCCTCATTATCATCATAATTATGCTCTGAGTCCACTACCTATAAAACAGAAAGCTGAGTGGGTCAGGCTTGGGAGCCTGGTAAGCATATAGGGTTTTCAACCCACAAATAATAATAAATTTATTAATTTCATTGATCAACAATAAATTTATTAATTTCATCAACCAACAATAACCCAGATTACCCATTCCCGTTATCCTCACTTTACATCCCTAAACACCTATACAAGGGACCTAGTCTAAGGATTTTATCATCGGTATGGACACTACTGCTAAGGGGTTTCCTCAACAATAAATGTCCTAAAGGAAAACATGAGGGGGATGGAGTACACCGGTGAACACATCGTTCACAACACCTACAGGTTGCGAGCCTGCCAGCGTTCCACTGGACTGTCTAGAAGAGTCTGTGGTCGTCATCCATACTCCGCTAGATGACTAGAACAACAAAAACATCGAGGCCTCTCATCATTTTAACACACAACAACTATTTTTTCTACCCATGTTCTACCCAACATATTTGTAGATAAAATACATATACAGCTTATAATTTGTATAAAACATTGTATTCAACAATCATCTCAAATAAACAATCAATATAATTACACATAACATGTATTTTATACAAAATACTTCATACCTATGTGTAAGATGAAACTGACTATATACTCACTTGATTTGATGATAATCGGACAGTAATTTGTTCCTTAAAATGATCGTTTCTGATAAAACCGGGAGTTTTATTGAGAAACTAGGCTCTGCGAGAGTTGGAGCTTCAAAACCGAAAAGATAAAATTTCTCGGGTTTTCGGGCACTTCGGCACGTATTCCAGGCTTTAAAAATGATATCGGGGCTTCGGGGGAAGTCAAAATAGTCAAAATATAAGTTTAGGGGTGAAAAATGTCAAATTTCCAAAAGTAGTCGGAAAGGCTCGCAGCCCCCCTTTATATAGGTTGCGAGGCCGAGGTCTTGTGGCTAAGGATGCTCCACGTATTACCTGCGAGGTTCGGACATGGAAGGGAGAGGTGGCAGCGAGGGAACGAGGCATGTGGCAACAACGAGGCGAGACACGGAGCGAGCTACGAAGGGTCGAGAAGCGAACACCAATGCGAGGCGGGTCGCTCTTGTATTGGACCTCAGCTTTGGTCTATCAAAAGCTGACACGAAGAAGGCACGTGTCGGTCTCGGATTCGGCCACGACTTGGTGATGCAGCAGCTTCGGCCTTGAGGCGGTTTCACGAGAGGGGTGACGTTTCCGGTTACTGTTCATGTGAAAATTTTCGAATTTTGAGCCCCGAACTTCTAAAATCCATAACTTTCACATACAAACTCCGTTTTTGACGTTATTTATATGCACGCGTAGCTAAAGTCATGTTCTACAACTTTCGTTTAGACTTCGTTGGCTAATTTTGAGTTTAGTTTTAGTATTATTATTTTTAACAGACCGGGACTGGAAAACCCGTTAAAAATTCATAACTTCTTCATCTGACGTCCGTTTTCGTCAATCTTTTTACCATTGTACTACTATTGACGAGACCTTCGATTCTCGTTTAGGTTGTGTCAGATAAATTTCGCTCGATCTTAAATTCGAGTATTTAGTTGTCTACTGCTAAGCTAAAACTTAGAAAAATCATAACTTCCTCATACGAAGTCAGATTTGGGCGTTCTTTTTATCGAACTTCTAGGTTTAATGAATACTATGACTTTTGTTTAGATTGATAAGGCTAAAAAGCACTTTATCACAATATTCACTTTTTATGCTTCACGGTGTCGTGCCGGTTTCGTCGCGAAAATTCGACAGGTCAGAACTTCTTCGTTATAACTCGTATTTCGGCGTTTTTTATATCTTCGGAATCCATGTTTCGGCCACTACAACTTTCTTAAAAGATATCCGCTTTTTCTAATATTTATTTTAAAGTCTTATTTTCATTATTAATTAATTAAATCATAATAATTAAGCAAATAAGCATATAATTCACATAATATTCACATAATTCCTCTTTATTACTTCAAAATGAGTTTCAAAGGTTGACCTAGACTATTACAACTTTATTAATGCTTTTAGCCCAGAAACACGGGTGTTTCAATAGATATAGTTTTGTTCAAGAAGGTAAACACTACTAGAAAAGCAGCCTTTTACGACGCTCATTGCGCGTCGTAAAAGGCTCAGATGACGCGCAAGTGCGCGTCATGGAAGGCCCTGACATAAAGAGAGATGACGCGCTTTTGCGCGTCGTGTATAGACGACGTGCATTTATGACGCTCATTTACGACGCGCGTTTACGACACGCAATGCGTATCAAGGAGGACCCTATCATAAAGGAAGACGACACGCATTCGTGTGTCGTAACCTTACGACGTGCGTGTTAATGACACGTAATGCGTATCAAGAAAGCCCCTGTCAAGAAAGGCCATGTCATAAATGAAGATAACACGCATTTTTGCATATCATAATTTTAAATGTTTAAAAAAAATATTATTTTATAGATTTACTAATTTTCAAATTAAATTTGTATTTAATGTCTCATAATAGAAAATAAAATATCATATACAAAAAATACGATCCATTTCATAAAATTTAATGTCATACAAATAATCGTTCCATAAAAAGATAAAACAAATCACTAGAGTTGTAACAGAAATTTACAAACTAATTGTTCTAATAACCTAATGTGTGCCTCACTATAAACAAGATTTGTGCTGATTTTTTTAAATGTGTGCCTCACTTGTCTCCACTCTTCCTTAGTCACACCACTCAAGGACTCTAAATCTATTAACTTGCTCAAAGTATCTATATTGCCTGCAAAAACAAATTTAAAAATAAAAACAAACTACAAAATAAGTGTGAAGATGGATTATTACATTGTAAGAGAAGTAAAGAACCTTGAGCTTCCTCCAATGGGTCACATGGGTAGTCAGACTTGATACACTTTGCAATATGTATATCTCCTAATGCAAGATTAACTTTATTTCTCCAACTAGAAGGCCATATGAACCTCTTTAGTTTATCCTTACAAAGAGAAACATAAATTAAATTATTAGATTATTTATTGAGCAATCAAAGTATACTATAAGGAGCTGGTTGGGCATAGCGACCACCTTGTGGGGCAGCATTAGGAGACTGCTGTGGCGGCGGCTGTCCATAACAGACCAAAATAAGAAGGGTAGAAATGGGAGGTGTAAGAACCCTTTAACTAAAAGATACCCAATTTGTCTTAAATTAGCATAAAGTTCTTTAAAAAAAACCATTTTAAAGAGTTTCATTTTGAATCATGCAGCCATTAGATTCACATATTGAGCAATCAAAGTATACCATGTTATCCAAGTAAGAATAAAGATGCTATGTATACTGAAAAGCAAGTGCAATCTAGCATACAGTTTCTGAAACTAAGCTGATGCTTGGTCTCCATGTAAAACTGCACATACCTCACTGATTAATTCATTAACCAACTGTTTTGCAGCCTCAATCTGCTCACTGGATCCATCTATCTGTACTGTCCTCTATGTTGAAGTATCACTATGGGGTGGGTGTAGTGGTATCACATGATAACATGTATAATAATCTTTTTTGCTATAATCATTTCTCTTGTCAAGTGTAGTCCTCAAAAGAGAGACTTTAACACTCGATATAGAACATAAGCTCATAGAGAACAGAGAAACTTAAATATACCTGAGTACGAGCTTTGTACCGGCTTGCATATTCTTTATGGTCTCTTGCAAAGCCTCCCTATCCTCATCATCCCCACACATCTCTTCATCAGCCTCAAAACGTGTTCCCTACGTTATGTAACATCTTTAGCATTGACTTGTACCTAAACATACGTTATGTAACATCATTCTCAGTCTCCATTGTATTTACTTTGAGGACTAACTCATATCGTATTATCCCTAGATAATATCACTCCAGGACTGAATACCAGTCTTTAATATTATCTCATTTGGTCTTTAAAATGCTTGTTTAGTAACTGAATATCAGTCTCACATATAATGTCATTCAGTTCCTAATCTAATTTTTCAATGAGTGGATATTAGTCTCAAATACAACGGAATTCGGTCCCTAACCTGATTTCTTAGTGACACAGGATATCAATCTCAGATCATTTAGTCTCAAACTAGCATTTATAATGACTAAAAAAATATAAAAGCACCTTTTATTAATATACGAAATGAATCAATAATATATAAATGAATCGTAATCATTTGAAATCATACAAAATTAAAATAATAAACAAAAAAAGGTATAAGAACAAGTCAATAACTAAACCATATGTGAAAATTTTCCAAATTTTGATGAACAGTCATGACTATTATTCTTACTCTAATGGATTTGCGATGTCATCATGCGTAAAACTCCTTCTCTATAAGGTACGCATACCTTGAGCCTTTAACAAAATATTTTTAGATTGATACATCTCCCTAGCCTGAACAGATTAACAAGATATATATTTAAAATATTTCCTATAAAAAATTAACAGTAACAAGATAGACAAATTTATCAGATTAACAACGAAGGCCTAACAAAGATGGCATGAAACGACTACGTACACATCGAACATCTAAGTACAACTTGAAATATATATATATATATATATATATATATATATATATATATATATATATATATATATATATAGAGAGAGAGAGAGAGAGAGAGAGAGAAGCAACTAAAAAAGGAATCTACATTCAAATCTAGAAATTAAGTAGTCTAATCATTAAAGTAATAGACTAACGGAATTATTGAAATAGTGGGAAAGTAAATCGACTTTGGAGTTCCAGACTTACCTTATGATGTTTGTGAAGTTGAACGACTGTTGGTCGTGCAAAGGAAGAAAAGTGGCGGAAGACAAGCGGGGATGGTGAGCAGATGAGCAGTGGAAAGTAACCAATTTTCTTCACCTTTTGAAGGTAATTGAGAATTCTAGAAAATTGAGGATGTTATTATCTATAAGGGCAACAGTTGTATTTCAGCAAAACCTAAAACCCTAAAAAACAAGATTATAAACATAAAAGAATTAAAATAATAAAAAACTTACTTTTTTTCTCACAAAGGCGGCATGTAAGAAGTGAACTTCAAGTTCTACCACTGTCCTTACTGCAATATTTGCATGCACAATTTGGACAACGCCAATCACCTTCCGGAAGCATCTGAAATAAGAGAAATACAAGAAACTGATTCATCTGTTATCTTTTGGACTAAACATGGTAAAAATCAGAAAGCACATGGGACCATTTATGTAATTTTCTCAAATCTGACCTGCATATCAAAATCCCCAACATCTCCACATAAGCCACAATTGTAGTGGGCCTAAAAAGCATAATGGGGCTAAAATGAGAGTATTGGGGTCGAAGTCGGATAAGATAATAGACCTCGACTCAGGTATGACAATTAATAAAAAATTAAGCTCGTACCTCATTAAATCTACAACGAGAAAGTTAGCCCAGCATCCTGGCGAGATACCATCATATCACACCTCCACCATTTCTTTGTCGATCATAACACAATTGACAACCTCTCTATGTACCTTCACCTATTTCTTTATCGGGGCACGTACGACGTTGTTGTTGTCAGGTTAGAAAAGTTTTATTTTCTTATTCTTCTGCTCAAAAGTAATTATTTTCAGATACTTAAAAAGAATTGTGGGGATTGGAAACTGACTCTGCCTATGAAGACCATCTACCAAGAGAAGTCCTTGTTGGCTAATGGGGAGAAGTTCATGAGCTGAGGTAGAATTTGATGGTGTGTTGGAAATATTCAAGGATATCATACAGAAGAAATGGGCTCTGGTCAAGATATTGGTCAAAAATTCAAAAGCTGATGCAACAAAAGAAACACCTATGCGTATTGTTTATATTTTGTATCAATGGATGATCTTCGCCACGTATGCAGAGCATCGTTGATTAAAATTGTATCACTATTTCACTTACACTAGTAGTATTCATGTTTACTAAAACCTGCATTAAAAAACAATTACACAACTTCTTAGTCTCTTCTTTTTTTTTAACTAAAAGAACAAAAATAAGGATTAGTTACCCTCAAACCCACTACTCCAAATTTATAAATAATTTTATTAAGGTAGGTAACCTACAATGACATGAGCAGTAACCAGAGGTACTGTTTCAGCTACTATACTTTTTACATTCTGAGGTTCGCTTCCAACAATGTATATTACCTATATACATTGTTGAGTCTATCGTATACCCCAGGCATTCTAATAGATTCATAGCAACAAAACACTTAATAACACCAGAAAATTAGGATAGAATTCCCATTCATTCGAGAGGAATGGACTCGCCAAAAGAAGAACAATGTTCTCTTACAAATTAATTCTTAGCTACTGACTCTCTAAAACAAATGACCATATATACTATCACTAGAGACAAGACAAAAAGGAATCACAACCAGCATAATCAGGTGCTGTTCCCACTAACATCACAACCAATAACAGCCATAATACCAAAAGGACCAAACTACCCCAACAGCCAAAAAGATAGCCGGATAACTCTACGAAAGCAAATCAACTAAAAGCACTCTAGGATTAGTTGGGCTTATCAATTACCTATCAACAGCCCATTACTTAAATGCAAATGAAACAAGGATGTAACAAAGGGCTAATATTACTTACTGTGTCTTTTCATGTAAA